TTTTCTGTAAGAACTAGACCCAGGGTACAATGGCCCCTTCCTGGGGGTAAATTCAACTGATGATTCCATCGATTCAGGCGGGGTTACCTCCACCCAGACTCCATGGTGGTAGGAAAAGGCTCTCTGGGAGGAGATGGGTCCTTGTGCCCACGAACGACAGCATCTCTCTGCCACGTGGATGCAACGTCTCGGTGGGCCCGCTCCCCGACCGGGTGCGATCCGCCTAGGGCTGGGGCCGCGGGCTCTGATCGCTGTGTGAAGTGACTGGATCCCGAATCCGGAGGGAAGTCGACGCTGTCCTGGTCAGCCCTCCCGCCTTCCCACCTGGCTCCACGGTCCTGCGGCGGGGGCTACTCGGGCTCGCTGCTGTTGGTGGTCTTGTCCCACTCCAGGCTCTCCTCGCTGCGGGCTGGGGACGGCCGTGCCCGCAGGCCCTGGAAGCGGCGACACTCCGGGCACACGCGGATGTGAGTGCAGCCGCGGGCCACCAGGGCGGCCTCCTGCGCCAGTCTCTGCGCCAGCTGGTCCGGCTCCCCTGCGCCACAAAGCTTGCCATTGCTGAGCGTCGCTGTGCCCCGGGGCCTGCGCTCCTCGGGGACTGGGGGCCGGGGTGGTGGGACCCCAGAGCGTCGCCGCCGGGGGTGGATACTGTCCTGACACAGGACAATGTTGCGCAGTTCTGTCACCATCTCCTGACATACGGACACCTGGAAGAGACAGTGAGGTCACAGACAGCCTCTCAGAATGGCACACGAGAGCCCCCCGGGGCCTGTAGCATGGTGTGGAGGGATATCCCATCTTAAGAAGGAAGACTACTGGAAGGCCTCACACCCACCCGTTTAAGGCTCAAAAGCCCTCCATAGCACGGTCTTCATTCAATAGTCATGTCAGATGGTGCCCAAACTTTGAATTCCTTCAAAGATAAGGATCTCCGCATCTTGGGAAAGTGAGGGTACCATTTTTGCGCATTGCCATTAAATGCTGCTTCCTCCTACCCGTTAACGTCTATTGCTGAAAATTTCATCCACTGATCCCAAGTACATTTATTTGGGCCTTGAAACCTACTTCAAACAAACAACCTCTCCTACATCAATTTCCCAAGTATTTGAAAAAGCTATCATTTGTGTGTGAGCTGGAAAGGAGTTCTCCTGTAACCCGGAGAAGCAGCCTGCTGTTCTTCCCCATTCTCTTTTCCAGTTCTATCCACCTGACAGGTCTCCTGGGGCCAAGCAGCCAACAGAGCCTTGACAGCACTTTAGCTGTCCTGAGTGCTCTGATTCCATTCAAGTTTTCAATGTATGGAGATGGTGCATAGTGCTAATCACCAAAACTAGAGCAACTGAAGCATCTGCCAGTCCACAGTCTCCCACTATGAAATGCTTAGTTAGATCCAGGTGTGTTTCAAAATTCAGAATATTCTGCATTTTAGGAAGGCAGTACAATGCACAAACGTTGTAGTATATATCACACCCATTGGGTCTGGGACAAATTCCATATTCAAACACATTGCTATTTCTACAGCTCTGTGCACGATGCTCATGGTGAGTCTGCACTGCAAATTATTTGTCAGGCTTTGCCACTGGGTACATTTGCATAAAACTTACAAAAGGTTTGGAATTTTCCTAGATTTGGGGGTTTGAGTTTGTGTTACTACTGTTACTATTATTAATAGTATCATATGCATGTCACAGATGTACAAGTACAGACTCAGAACATGTTGACTATTTTGTAAAGAACTGAGTAATGAGTAACCAACTGAGGATTTGAACTTAAACCTGTCTAACTCCAAGGCCAATGCAAAATTGGTTGAGTTCTCTCATTTCTGAGCTGAAAAGGACACTCCTGGGTCATGATGGGAGAAAAATCCTCCTCCTCCTCAAGTTCTATCAATGGGACAGCTGCTCTACTGTAGCCTAAGGGTCAACATAGCTGTCAACCTGACACAAACCTAGAGCCACTTAGGAAGAGGGAACCTCAACAGAGGAGTTTC